AGCAGTAAATGATACATAGGTGAGCGAAGGATGTGGAAGATGATGCAACCGTTGGGGTAGTTGTAAACCTTCAACCTGCGGTGCTGCGAATACGTTGGAATAATGAATTTTCAGCATTTCCGCTGCTTCCATTGGAGTGGCTGCAACTCTTCCAGCGCTACTTAGTACCGGTAAACCAAACTTTACTTTTCGAATGGAGTTGACGTGTTGGTACAACAGCTTAGGGTTAGAAATGAATTTTTGTGCTAGCACCTCTTGGTATTTCATTTTATCCTCACGAATCAGCTTGGTACAGTGGTTCCTCAGCATACGGTAATTATTCCACGTGACAGCATTCGGAAGATGATTATAATCTCGCCAGGCTAAATCCCTCGCCGATAGCCATTTCTTTGTGCGGCTTCGAATAGGTGAATTTCGGATGCCGGATTTGGTGATTACTCTGGTTTTAGTCACGGATGTTATTATATTTGTAAGATTTTCAGTGGTTTTGTGCCATCTGTTAGATAGCACCTCAGGTTCGTAATCACTCTCAGATGTACGAAACTTTTTTCTACAGGCAGAATGCCACGCCGACTCTTCTAATCCGCAAATCCGGCAAATGTCCATGATAGTCATTTCGTTCCTCACTCTCACATGACATGGCTGGGTGTCGGAAACAGCGGCGTTCATGCATTCACTCATTATTCTCCTAACACTGCTCTATATGAATTCTCCATCTTCCGCTTGAATGTGCTTTCAACGTTCCAATCCTCATTCTGCTCTTTTATCCAGATGGGGCACAAAAAGACAGCAACCAAAACCGGCGCACGAAAGTGCATAAATAATGGTTGTAAAACCTGAAACTCTGAAAACTTATCTTTGTCGCTAGTTGAGTAAACCACACATGGAATCGCATCGCAGTAACGCGAGAAAACCATATAGTCTTTGACAGATAATTTACTGATACGATAAAGTCGTCAGTGTAAATGAGGCTTAAGCTAAAAATGCTAGGAAGCTCTAAACAGCTGTTTCGGTCTAGTTGGGTTTCATCAGCAGTGCAAATCCGTTGACCCAATTGGGGATCGAACCTGGGACCTCACAAGTCAGCAGATCAGACCGCTTCTCATTCAGAATAATTTAATTTTCAATTTTGAATAGTTTAATAATTTGTTCATCTGATTCTCGGAGTTGACCATAAACAAGTCCGCAAATAACAGCCTTAATGACAAGTTTGATCTTTGTCATTCAAGTCTCTTTTGTGTCACCGTAAAGTAAATTAAATTCATGCAAGAAAAATCTGGATTACGTCCATAGAATACAAATTTTCACAGTGATGAACACAGCCATACACGGTTCTCAGCCGTGATGGTGGTATCTACTATGTCATCGAACTGGGTTTTGAGTTTATTCACACTCGTACCTGTACTCGTTTTCTCCAAGCATTTGAGTTCCACAAATTCCCTGTCATTCGTTTATTTCATCACTATCCGATATTCCTTGACCAAACAAATCGATGAACATCAGAAACCAAAGTACGTGAAGGCAGGGTTGATTCGCTCAGTTTAAAACGAGGGGAAACGAGAAGTGTGCCCTTAAATCTGGTTTCATTTCGAATCTAACGGCAACCGCTCACTTTAAACGTGGATGAGGATTGGCCTCGATAAATTCCAGTGCCTTAATTGGACCTTCTTGATCAAACAAAGTTTCACAGTCCCGAAGAATCTGGTGAAGTAATGGAAAAGATATTATTTAGAATCGATACATTCTGAAGAGACAAATATTTTTCGAATACTTGGTAACATTTGGTGAAAAGCAATTGGAAAATACTCATTTTTGATCATCCAAATCCTTCGCAATGTATGGATGAAGGAGCACTGCCCACGTTGGTTAAAACAAGGAGGAACAGGAAGCATAGGAAGTGCCATTCTTGGTCATCTAGTAGATACAGGTCATCAAATTAGACCGGAATCGGCTTTCAACGTAATCTATCGTGTGCCCCTCAACCCCTCCAAAGCAGTGCGCTTACATACACTAGCCACCGCTGAGGCGATAGGCATTCGCCTATTCGCACCAGAACTATGTGCACAAAAGCGACTGGTTCAAGCTCTTCACTTACCCTGGCCCCAAATTGATCATCAACATCACCATCACCACCACCACCACTCCAATCACAATCGGTCTCACCCGAACACAGACACATAGAGCTTACCTCTCCCCTCTCCTCTCCTCATCCCAAATGACCCTTTGACCCAGCGTGAAAATGTGTCCCCACTAACGACAAACCCTTATATGATCTGTACAGGCACGATTATGAATCATTCGAAAACAATTGTTCGCCTTCGGACTTGTGTTCTGATGTATGGAATATGTCAAAAAAGACCAAATTATGCAGACCGATTTCGATTAATCACGAAAAGATACACATTATTGATTCACACACCTTCAAACATACATAACAAACGGCCCACATTAAAACCAAACACAAATCTACCGATGATTAGTTAGATCTCTTAGAGGGCCCACATCTGTTGATGTGTATGAAACTTACTGACTTCAAATCTTATCGCTTCACGGAATGAGGCAAGTCACACTTTCGTCCAAAAAGACTTTAGCGATTTTGATGCTCGCTCACTGACAGAGCGTAATCCAAAACACGGTGCTCAACGCCCAATCGGAGGAATCGATGAGTATATTGTCACAATGTTGACTGACATTACTTGTAGGTGGAGATATTTTCCAGGAAACTCGTGGTAGTTTTCAACGAGGAACAGAATATCTGCATAGGGTCACCATCAAAGGCGACATTATCCGTTCGGTGTTTGGCGTTTATACATTAATGAGTGTAAAAAATTAGAATGTGTTTACTTCCCTCCAGAGTTTCATATATGACATGACTTTACATATTTCCAACACTAAAGAAGAATCAGTTTCGGACCAAATACAGATAAAAGAAAAGTTACGGTCGGGTGAGATGAGGTTTTATTCACACCTCAGTTTGTATGTACGGGAAGTCGTGATTTGTGAAATTTCTCATGCTTATAGCTGAAGGTGACCTCGCGACCACCAGTCGTCCATCATTAATTCTGATTGGTTCATTAATCACAGAACTCATTGATGGTCACATCACCTCTTGTGTTAAATTTGTCCATAAGGTTCTAGATGACCCTCATCATCCACTGCATTCCGATCTATCACCTTGTCGTTCCCATCCGTCCACAGGCTCCTCATTTTGGCATCTACCCTCTCGCATTAACATTTACAAAAATTCCCCTGCGCCCTACCTGGCAGGACTCCTAACCAAAAAGGAACAGGTAGCAAGTGAACTACGTCAAACGTTTTGGACATGAAATAAATATCAGTGACATTCTTTACCTTTCATGTTATACTTCATTTAATTATTATTATTGCTGGGTGACAACACACAGGCAGTGCAGAGTGCTTATTCAAGACTGGTATGAGCCTATTCCTGTACTCACCCTCTGTGGCGATCAGCTAGAAGTAGTTGAGAGCTTTAAGTACCTCGGGAGCATGATCGTAGCTGGTGTTAGTGTTGGGCAGGAGATCACATCACGAATAGCGAAATCTAGAGCAACTTTCGCCAACTGTGACACCCGTGGCGCCATCATGATATCCGAATGTCCCTTAAGAAAACGGTGTACATCGCCGCTGTTCGTAGCGTTTTGTTTTGCGGTTGAGAGACCTGGCTCCTCCGCGTTGAGGATGCTAATCAACGTTCTGTAATCGACCACCGATGTCTCCGAAGCATTGCTCGTATGTGGTAAGAACATCGGCTGAGCAATGACGCCGTCGTGTCTTGGATGTACTTAGTCGTTCTCTAACAGAAGTAATCGTCTTACACCGCCTCCAATGGCTTGGTCACGTATTGCTTATGCCTGCCCACTGATTGCTTTTCCGTGCTCTCTTCGAACGTGTCGGGCAAGGCTGGAAGAAGCGGTGCGGCGGTCAGACCATGACATGGCGTAGAGGTATGAAGAATCTGTCTTCAGCTTTGGCTTGGTTTGGTGCAGCCCACCTTTCGGGTTGAGGCCGAAGGGATAAGGGCTGTCACTCGTTAGAGACGCTGAGAGATATGACCCAGAATAGAAGTCAGTGTCGCGAATGTTGTACGGTTTGCCTGTCAAAGTCCCGTGTTCCATGAAAAAAAAACGATAAACTAACACAAACATTTTCAAAATGTGTTCGGTGAGACACGAAACAAATTGTTATCCCATTTCATTGTAAATTTCCATTTTAACAGTTCCGTCTTTTTCCCTATGTTCTGTATCCCAACCCAACTCCCCTTTAGTTAGTATTATTGTTAGTATCGTTGTGATATTGGCACCTTACTTGTCCGCAAGTCCGTGGTAAATATATATATATATATACATATATTATTGTTATTATCATTGTTATCCCATTCCGCGTGACGAACAGTGTGCATTGTAAGCTGAGATCTAAGCATATATGCTTACACAAGTTACACAAATACAAATGCAAAAACCATTGTGCTCTATAGTTAGACACCTTGAGTGCTATACAGTCCGTGGGCTGTCTGTAACTCAGGTACTCCTAAATCTATTCAACTTCTGTATAACCCTAGTCAATCTGAATTTCCAATCTTCATATTGATACTGTTTCGGAAATTCTCATTCCTTCCTGTAACCCTTCACCCAAAATGGATAAACAGCGGGAGCAACCAAACCGCCACCAGGCTAGTGGTTGTATAAACTGAACTGAATACACAAAATAAAACGTCAAGAAAGCAACCAGAAGCTATCAAAGATTCAAGACCCAAATAAATTAAAAAAAACATAGTGTTCCAAAAATTTGAGAATGGACTGATAACTCGTTGACCATGTAACCGCGTAACAAAGCAGCGAAAACTCCACATCACTAACTTTAACGGGTACTCGCAGTAAACAGTCCGTCGAGGGTTGATCTGCCAAAGCAACAAGTTCATCCAGTAGTACACCGAAAACTTCCAGATTGTTAAATTGGCACAAAAATGTGGATGTGTGTACCGGGGGTTCCGGTTGTAGTCCGTCAAAGATGAACATGCGTGTTTTCTCCATAATGGCAAACATTTGCGGACTTTCCTGAAACAGGAGCAAATTTTGAGTTTGTTTCCGCCATCATTCATGTAGTAGAGATAGGCCATCTATGCAATCAGAAGCCGTATTTTGTATCATTCCCGGGACCCCATTCAACAGCCGCATTAAAAAATTAGTGATAGTCAGTGAGATTCACGTAAGACTATGGTACATTCCCCTACAAAACAGGCCCAGGCGTGCTCAAGGTGATGGCGTAATCTGACAAAATAATACACCGTGATCGCAAAAAAAAACTTGATCCTCCGTGAGTAAAATAAACAGTGAAAGCTGTAAAAGTATTTGAATAGCTACGATAGGTATTATTATATTAAGTTCATTTCACTTCAGTTCAGTTTTTATAACCATTAACTATGCACTTGTGTGCATCGGTTTTGGTTGCTGTCTTTTGGCTGCCCATTTGGATGAAAAGTAGTAGAAAGACCGGAAAGTTGAAAGAGAAAATGTAGGATTTCGGTGGACTAATGTTGCGAGGAAATTAAGAAGATGCACAAATGCCATTGTTAACGACACAGCCATATCACTCTGTGTCTCTAACCACCGGTTATAATCATGCTAAGGTCCTCAGCCAGGGGTCCTGATAGGACCTCTGTGATCCAGACTCCTGGTTAGCATTTTTCATACCCTTGCGTCATGTCTTCGTTTGACCAACCCTGGCTTTAGTTCAACCACTTTCCTCCTCGGAAAACGTTTTGCGCCGTGGCAACCTATTTGGTGACATACTTAACACATGCCTTAACCAACGCAGTCTTTGGAGTTTGACCACTTACCTTGGTGGGTGACTGCGAGTGCTTAAAGCTCGACGTCTAATCTCAGCAATGCTCATCCAGTTTGCCCACCAGACTATTGTAATGCGGCATAGACAGCGATGTCTGAATGCATACAGACTATCCTTATCCTGTTTTCTGAATGGCCAAGTTTCTACACCATTTAGGAGAACTGACCGAACTGCCGGGACGTACACTCGACCCTTCACAGACAGTCGGATGTTGCGGCGGCACCACAACCGTCTCAAGTTGACGAACGACAACCGAGTCTTATGTATCAGATCTAACATTTCATTCGTAATGCATCCGCCAAATGATATATAACTGCCCAAATAGCAAAAACTCATCCACCTTTTCTATTACTTCCTCAGTTAGAGTGAGGCTGGGTGCTAAGCCAACCCAGTAATCCGGTTCCCAATGTTTCTAATCGAGTCGCAACCCCGGAAGTTTGTGCTGAGATGCCTGAGGTGTGACATCCGCATTAAACTCAGAAAACGGATTTTTTCATGCTGACAAAAGAACAGTTTGATCAGCTCTCCGGTGATCGAGTAGGTAGTATTCTCGAGTTCTACCGGTGAGGTCATTATTTCGATCTCCGTTCGGATCGGTGGATTCACACAGCTGATGAGACCCAATCAGGTCAAAACAGTTGTTCCGTGCTTCCATGCGTTCAATTATATACATTCAATTATTAACCACGCGGCACAATGATCCATGCCTCTTTCTGTTGGTCAACCCCTGTTGGTTTTCGTCCGCACTTGACACGTACGTCGCCTCTTCTTCCGCGTACCGTTCCGAATGGTTTTGCCCGATCGTGGCACGAGATACGTTGTTGGACAGCTCCGACGTTGTGGTATTCGGTGGATATCTTTCTGGCTAGATGGGGATTGTTCGTCGGGCTGTAATTGTCGATTCGTTCGTTTCAAGTGGTAGTCGACATTGTCTTGCGAAGTACTTCCCGCCGCAACGTCCGCGCACCTGGTTGGATGGGCCCCATTCTTGATTCGTTCGCTAGCCGGGGCTCTCTTTGTACCACCTTCCACCACAATACAACTGTGCAGTGGTTAGTGACGCTTGTGCATCTAGTCACTGCCTTATTTTGTATTCACCATGAAAACGTTGTCATTGCTTTCATTTTGGTTCTATTTCACCGAAACTGGTGATTTTCTCGTATATTTCTTCTTTGGTGTTGCACCTTTCCATTATTTGTTCACAATGCAAAAACACAGACATTCATCTGCTGGAAAACTCAATTCAAATTCAACTCTCTCATTTCTACTGTACCGACTCCAGTCTATAATTTGCTCACTTCGAGATAATTTTTAGATCATTACCTTCCGTTCGAAATCGCTTATGTTGTTGTGTGTAACTTAATCCAGTTCCGCGGAAATCGAACAGTAAGTCGGTGACGTCACCCAGGAAACCACTGATGCGGCAAACCGTAAGAGGAGTGAAGAAAAATCAGACTTAGAGATAGTCGCCCCGCTGAAGCACTCTGTGTATTTCTTCAGTGACCAATTTACATCGATGGAAAGATTAGTTAATTTGATTCTGTTACTTGTTCACTTTAGTTCTGATGACCTGAGTAGGTAGTGGCCAAGTGGTTAGGTCACTAACTTGTGACCTGGGAGTTCAGGGGTTTGAACAGCCACAACCACCGTCCATCTTCCCCATTTCTGTATTGTCCAAGCAGTCTTTGTATGACCGCAGCCCCCCTTTTTGAATGTTGACTGTACATTTGTAAATTCAATAAATAGAAAAAGAAAGTAAAAAGACATTTACTCATTGTATCGTATCATAAAATAAATTTCATGATCACTCTGAATTAGTTGCCAATTGTCCGGCTCGAAATCAATTCTTGCAAACAATTCCCCTCTTCTGGTTACGCACATTTACTAGACAACCGAACGATTCCGTCTCTCCTTCAGAGACATTATCAATATGTGCATTCTACGTTATTTGTTTGGTAACCTTTAACCGTTCGCTGAATCTCATCTCTTTCATCATTCGATAGCCACATTGGTATTTGAAAGGCTAAGACCAAAACCAAAGCATGCGTTAATGCTCGGATTGAGATCTTCAATGAGGAAGTAATACAAATGGTTAGCTTGATCTGGAATAAACTAACTTCAGCAAATTTTACATCCCAAACATCTTTGCGTAGGAAACTCGACAGTTGCTTCCTGTCCATGGCAACCGATTCTCCGTTCTCTCCTTTCACTGGATGCAACGTTAACAATCCGGATTCATCAATCACGGCCAGAAGACTGGGGCGAAAAACGAGAGAAAGATATCGACCAAATAAGTAGTTTCGCACACTTCGTGCATTTGAATTAATATAATAATTTCAAAGAGGGAATTATCATGTAACAAGTGGTCAGGTTTTGAAAGCTTTCAACCGGATCATAACCCCAGAGGCTAGCGCTGAGATGAGCGAGGCGAGATGCCTGCCATAGGCTCGTGGCGGTCAGTGGTGCTATATCGTGTAAACGGAAAACGGTCTGATCAGCTGTCCGGTGGCTGAATGGGTTGTATGCTTGTGCTCTACCACTGTTGAGGTCCCATGTTCGATCCCCAGTTGAGTCTATGCATTCGCAATTGCACTGATGAGAACCAACCAGGCCGAAACAGCTGAACAGGGCTTCCTAGCTTTTCAGTTCACGTTTTGTTTGCTCGATACACGACAAATTACCTTTGTGAAATTAAATCGAACCCCCCCCCCCAAACTCTCAGGTAATATAATAATTGTTTGAGTGCTTTGAGTTATTGAAAAAATAAAAGTGACCAGACCAATAGTTGAAATACCTTTTGAAGGATACATGGGAACAGGCACGATGAATGCTGTTTGGAGAAATATATTTAAGTCTTCGGATACTCAAATTTCCGAGTGAATTAAAATAGAATCCAAATATCAAAATACTGGCATTTGGAACAATTTCAATCAAACAATTGTTTTCAAAAACTCATAATCATGCCGTTACACTTTATATGAGGGGAGAAAACTAGGGGTTGGGAGGAGAACAATAAAATGTGAGGAATCGTTCACTTTGCTTGTGTGTGTGTGTGTGTGTGTGTTGCACACCGCATTCTCAGTTCTGTGCTTCCGGGGTTTTTAGTTCTGTCATGTTGGTTTTGTGACCCAGTTCTGAGGGATCGTTGTTGTTGTGTGAAAATGTGTGGATGTAGGCAGGGGTGAGGAGATAGTTCGCGAACCCCTAGAGAGATGGAGAGCTTCGATAAGACGCTTCTGGGCACGTAGTTCGAGGGTCAAATGTTTAACATAGATGGCTTCGGCTGTGGCCATTGTAAGCATTCAAACCTATTTAGACCGGTTAGGGAGAACCTGATAAATAATGCGAAATGCTTCACTTCGGTTAACACAATGGCCAGTGTCTACCAAGTGGGTGAGAAGCGCACCTGTGATAGATCCGGAACCACCTTGACTCACCCAACGCGGATGGTGTTCTTTCATGCGCACAGATAACTGCTGTGCTGTGCGACCGACGTAGAGTGCGCCACAAAAGCATCTGAACGAGTAAACAGTCAATGAGGCGGTCAACATCGTTAGTTTGTCTTTATTGCGTATGCTTATCAGTGGCGAACTCTTGAAAGGGCAGCGTAAAAGCGTGGCGTTGAATGTGGCTTTTTCCGCTCCATTCAGTCATCTTATGAGGGTTTCAGTGGCAAGTTGGCTCTTAAAAAGAAGACTGACGAACAGGACCTTCTTTTTCATCGTATCAGTGTTTACTTTTGGTACCTGTACCAACATATTTGGTTGAGTGAAACGGTCTGGTAGCCACTGCTTCTGAGCACGTTGGAGATAAACTCGAGTTCATTTTCGAATACCTCCAGTACTTCACGAACCCACCCCGCCTTGGATAAGACTAGACTGCTCAAATTATTCCTATTCCGCTTTCGTTGCATCTCAGTTGGCACAGCACGGCAAACAACAATAATCTATATCGAGTATCAAATTGTAAATCGTACACAAGCCCAAAAGGGGCAACTTTCCGCACTTTTTAACACTTCCGCAGCAGTGAGAGTATCATGGAACGGTTGTTGTCACGGGATGACTAGGGTGTTTGTTTCCAATGACTAAAATCAAGACACCGGAATTCGATGTGAGTGTCTGTTGGGTTCGGACCGTGATTAGTTATTATTGGGTTTCGAGCGATGCATGGCAGAGGTTAATTATGTGAACTGTTTGCGGATTGGGATAGTTATTGATTGCTAGCACAGTATCCCTGAGTTTGAATGTAATTGCGTTGTCTGGTGAGGATTATTCGTAAGATTTAGGGTTTAAACCAATTTGATTGACTTTTATGCCTTCGTTTAGGATTAAAACATTGACCCAGATTGACTTGTTGCAGATACCTCAGTTTACCCGCTTTTATTATTTGTCATTAGTAAAACAAGTATCACTATTCAAAATGGGTAGATTTTCTCGTTTTTTACGTTCTGTAATTGATGTTTTCCAGATTCATCCGGCAAGGTCCATGAACTGATCACATGACTTAATGTGTGATTTCAGTCTCGGGGTTCACCAATCCTCTACGGGAGTGACGGGTTGCAATGTTAACTTCACCAACTGATGGTGTTTTCCAATATGCTCTATGCTACTTATTCTCTCTTTATTCTTTATTTTTTCATCATTCGAGAGAGAGAGAGTTTTCTGTTAGTATATTCTGCATTAGAAACAAATTTTTACTCAAAATGTCCAGATGTATGAAGCGAAGAAACATTAGTTTGTCTACAAATACTTACGATTTCATACGTTTTAATGGGAATAATTTCTAAGTACTCGTAATTTTTCATCTTATGTGAGCCCTACCCGGTTATTTAATACTAACCATATTCACCGTATGAAAGCAATTTTCCGTATTGCCACCGAGGCTGAATGAAGTCTGTAACACTCATTAACCAATGAATCGCAATGTGTGTTAACCCAGTCTTGGATTGAGGCACTTGGGCTGCCATTGTCAGAGATACCTTCGCATCTGATTTAGAATTTTGTAGTGAGTTTCTTACGCGAGAATGGCTTACAATCGTACAGAAACCTTACAAAACAGATGACTGAGTTTATAGCTCCGTTGCTCATAATAAAACAAAACTGTGGTCGAATAAAATTGTTCGTACCTGGAGTCACAATTTACTTGTAGCCTATACGGTTTTGTATCCGTAGTTTTCAATGTATCCTCGAGCCAAAGATCAGGTAATCGATATTGTTTGATTTGACCGGAAGATCGAGCAACGAACAGCTGACGTCGACCGCCAATAGCAGCTGTGCAAATCGGATCATTGGAAGCGTTTCTGATATGCTGATCCCAATTGACCGCACCTTTTGAACCGGCTCCTTGACCAACACCACCACTGCCACCAAGTGATTCGTCTGTAGTTGAGGTTTGATCAATATGACATAATCTGGTGGTAGGTACACGAACGGGAAGTCGCGTCTATTACATCTCATTTCAAAGGAATACAATTTTCACTTCGGAAACCATAATTCGATATATGGAGGAATTGAAATTTGAAGATAACACTTTGGGTATGTAGCAGTCATTCGGTTAATTAATTCTTCAATAAATTTAATCATGCACTGTGATTCTTCGGTTATACATCAATTTTCTACGATTAGTGAAATAATTTAATGCAGATAATGAGGAACAGGGCTTTGAAAACTGCGACTAAGATGAGATATGTGTTTAAACGGATCAATTCGCAAAGTTTCAGACCAAAAGTTAAGAGGTAACTGTCTCGGGACGGTTGATATTGGTCTCCCTGTTAATCTTTCCGGGTCCCTGATACCATTTTCTGTAGGGTTTTGCAACAGTTATGCATGAATTATGTATGAACCCCACATTCAATACATTATCTGACGACTCGGCCCTACGCAGTACTGGGTTTCATGTTATAAGCCGATGTAGGGTGTTCTTCATGTTCAGGCTGAGTTGACACCTAGTCTTGACATCACGGGTCAGCTGAAGTCAAGCCACATTTTGTTTTGTTCTTGTCCGATCGGAACCGCAGTCTGCTAGACTCTGTTCTGTCAGCGTTTCGATCAAAGGTGTTCCGCAGTTCTGTCAAACAAGTGAGATGAAGCAAACAACTAGGAATTATGGAGGTGTACTTTTGTGAGCGGAGTTTGTTATCCTCGGTATATTTATATATACATCTCTCCACTTCTGAATGCAGAACAGTGTACCGTACAGCTGACATTTTTACTCCTACGAGTATCACATGTTTTAAAAAACACTGAAGCTGCACGAGATGTGACAAATGGTTCAACGATACGGGCACATCGGTTAAACCTTCTCCAGTCGACATGTGTTGCAGCATGCGACCCCCACACCTTATTTCTTAACCAAACTTTGCAACATCAACATTTGTAGAAAATATCTTTTTCAACATCCGTTGACTTAAAAACGTTCCGATACTTTTTGATCTGACTCGTTTACTGCGGCGGTATTAAAGTTTGTTCGTCAAGACTACGGACTACGGGTCTTGGTTAAAGCATTGCGGGTTTTGGCTAAAGGAATGTAGGTTAAGGCTAAAGGATTGTGGTTAGAGACTAAATGACTACCGGTTTTGGTTAAAGCTTAACAGGAAAAAGTGTAGAAAACATTCACCAGTATGTGGTTGAAGGAAAAAACACATCAAACATGTAAATTTGATAAAGAATTCTTTGTCCAATGGACCAGATCGGTCTAAGACTTATCTCTATTCTATCTGATGCACCAATCAATATCTCCTCGGGGAATCAAAATCACATGAATTATCAATTTTATCTGTGCCAAGTGCCCTGTTGACATAGCACTCTTTTCAATACGGTGTATTTTGTAATAGTCTTCAAATGATTTACAACTCAATGGGCCCATAAACACATTTATTGAGCATCATACCTATGTCTCGTTCAGTTCACAAGATGTGGCCCACGGAACCCAATCAAATGTTTTGTTTTACAGTTTTCTTAGGTTATTTACCTATCTGTCTACCCTAAATAGGATGTATGGAGTCATTGACCCGGTGAGTTCAGGTGCACTGAGAGAAGTGTTTTGCAAAGCAATCAATTGTTTCATACTTAGATCAAAACACTTTAAATCTGATCTACCGAAACGATTTCAATATGAAGTGCTTGTTTTTGACTACGAACTTTATCTATTTCAGTTTATATCTTGTCTCTTCGTTTAACAGGAGGAAGTGATCATCCTAACAAAACTGAATAAAAATATGTAGCTTTCTCGTTTTTGGCTCTAACTCAATCATAGTAACAGAAAAGTGGAAAAGAATTATCCGATGCACATGATTGGTTTTGCAGTTATGAAAACCTCATCAGGTGAAAGTATCCAGTACTTCTCCTGTTATTGAACCATCAAAACTTAGGCCCTCTTTTCCAGTTTATCGAGGCTTTTCCTCATTCGTAGTCATTTCAATACATCACTTTGAAGATCAGTATTCAAACAATGTTCGTTGGGTAAAGGGAAATTATTGTTAAAGATTTTCAGGAATTGGTTTCATCTTGAAATCAAATGCGGGATTAGTGATGGTCACACAAATGTTGACTGATTCATCCGATTGCTGAGAATATTTACGATTTGGTATGTGAGGTGGAGGATTATTGGAGATTGAGCTCTGTATCATTCAATGGCAAATAATTTGGTGGACTACCTGAATCATAGAGCAAGGAAAATTGCAGCGTATATGCAAGTGGGAGAAAAATTATGACGTCTCAAATCTATCTGTACACGCAATGGATATCAGAATCGTTTTGCTAGCCGGACGATTCATTGCAGTGGTAAAATTTTAAAGAAGACTTATGTTAGAACGAAACCCGTAAACGCTGCTCAGTCGTTCAAGGGTGGGTGATAATACATCAGTAGAAGTTATGGAAAGAAGACTACCAATGTTGGAAGAAAGTTGTTTCATGCAGAAAACCTCAATCAAGACAATAATGTGTTTACGACTGAAAGATTAATGCTTGGCTTCGCCGTCTCATGGCCAGTAAACTCATACACCTTTCCGCGTTGAACAACGCACATCAACCGCACGTTCAGGCAATTGTACGAAACTTGATCCTTGAAAATCAACTTCTTTGACTAATCGGGCAACTACTCGGAATTTCCCATTCATGGTGGATTCATCAAAAGATACTTAACTGATTTATTTTCACGTGCCAAGACTAGAAACAATGGGGATACCAAAAAAGGAGACTATGGAGGTGCTAAAGCCATTCATGTGTAAACAAAAGCAAATAAAAATCGACTTCACGAAAAATTGTGGATTGCCATTTTCTCCGCTTTCATTTATCCCTCAAGAAACCACGTATTTTTCAGTTTAGTCCGGATTCTACAAACATTAATGCGGCAATTAAGTTTTCCTGGGTCAGTTCTTACCTTTAGGTTCAGTTTTCAGTTATTTTTCACATATCTTTTTCACACACCTTGAACTTTTGTGTGATGGCCCAAGTTGTTGTCCTATGGCAACCCATCTGGATGTAGGAATTGAGGGAAGCAGTAAGCTAAAGTTACAAGGAAAGTGAACAAATATACTAGCGTCACTTAAAACGACACACAGCTACATTGTCGTGTCGCTAGCCATCGATTACGCTGATCCCGATATCCTCGATCAGGGAACCTAACGCGACCAACATGTTCAATTCCTGTGGTCAGGGTTTTCATACTTCCATGTCAGATTTTAGTTCGACCAAATCTAACCTAGTTCTAATGGCTACCTGTCCCGGGGAATAGATGCCAGGACAATTTATTTAGTGACATGGGTAACACGCTCTCCAACCACCGCAACCTTTGGTTATCGAGCACTTGTCCCTGTGCGCGACCGAGTCGGCCCAAGACCCAACCCGGTTATTCCACTGAAATCGAGCAATGAAACAAAGACAGTGATGTTCGAACATTTTTTCTATTCCCCTTACGGCCAAGTCTGT